TCACGCTCTCAGTGCATTTCTTTCGTCTATCATTCTTCCGTTCTCAATTACACAGGACATCAGGCAAGTTATGGGGATAATCTTTATTTGTCTCGCTCCTTCTATGGGGGAATAAACAATGCAGGTGGAAGTGAGGCACGATAAGCTCGGTGTCTGCCTGATTGTAAACAACCGGGTGGCTGGCACTTATTTCTGGGTTCTTGTTGACAAAACCACTCAACTCTTGGTGGCTCTTAATGGAGGGTCAAATGTAACAAATTTTCACTGAGTGGCTCTTAATTGAGGGTGGCGCTTATTTGCGGGTTTTTACGGTAATCATCACATATCAATGAATGTTTATACATGGATGCTGTAGGACAATAGACAGACCTGGATAATTGTGGGTTAAAATCTGTACATATTAATTACCCAATTTGCATAATTAACCAATTTTAAGCTTTCACACTGATATCTAAAGTACTAATTTCCATTTTAATGAAACTTAGTACAAAGATGCTCTAGGACAATGTACAAACCTAATTAGTTTGGGGTCAAACTCTGTTCATATTATTTCCCCAATTAGCATAATAATTCATAATTTTTTGGTTCTAATCACATTTCAATTAAACTTGGTACATAGAGTTTTTGTTACATTGCGCAGACCTCATTAGTTTTACAATCAAATCTGCTCATGTTAATTTTCTGATTTGCATAATTAGTTTTCAGCTAAGTAATTTCAAATTATATTTAATGTGTCTCCAATACTCTCAGCACATGGGAGTTCTTTCTAAGCTTTCTTTGATTTTCTGTGTATAGATAAGATCAGCATATATGATGATGTAGATTCAGAGGTCCTGCAGAACTACTGTGAGTTTTCCCTTGTCAATCTAGTATACTTTACACTGAAGGAAGGTGCTTGCAGTGAACTCAGTGCTAGAATGACAGCTATGGAAGCCGCTTCAAAGAATGCTGGTAATTATTTTATAATTCTTGGATGTTTCAGGGCATTTAAAACTATGAATTGTGTATTAAACAAGTCTAATATGTTGAGCTTTATTGCTGGATATATAACAATGAATGGAAAATCGTTTGCATTTCATTCTAGGCAAAAGGTTCTTGTATTGGTGTCATTTGTTCTATTTTATTCATATTTGCCCAATTTTCTGAATTTTAGTTAAATTTTCTGAGCAATGGATAATTTTAGTAGTAGTTTTTATGTGTAAATTGTGTAAATTAAGGCAGCACAAGTTTTATCTCTGCTGTTGACAAAGTCAACACAGCGGAGCTGTTCATATTACTGATTGTCAGTCTCAGTCGTCAGCGTCAACTTTACAATTTCAACTTCTGCTTCAAAAACCGCAAGTCAGAATGTTTTTAGTCCCCGTCACATCATTTATTTTTCAGATCGAATTCAAAATGGCTGTCTGGCGGCCATTTTGTTTTAATGATTGGGCTTCTAGAGCCATATCTCTTACATGCTTTGACTGATTATATTCAAATTTTATATATTCGTTATACATCATGTTATATATATACATGTATTCAAAATGGCTGATTTTGAATGCTGTTCCAAAGCAATATCTCTCAATATGGACAAGTACATTTTTGACGATCAGATACAATTGTCAATTATTTTAATGTTAAAAAATCATATTCCTGACATGGTTATATTCCAGCTATATTACTACAAACAAAACTATATATCTTAAACTTGATAACTAACGGGGACTGTGCCATGCATGGCTTGTCAAGTTTGATATGCAAGTGCCTTAAATGGTTCTCTCTCAGATTTGTCTCAAATTTTTTGCTGAATATTTTTGTGATTTTTGGTCAAAATTGATATACTTTTTCTTTGAAAAAGTAATTCTGAATGCTTTCTAATTTGGTATATAGGCACCTTGGGTGGATCTCTCACAGATTTGTTCACTTCGTGGTATCTTCAATTATCTAATTTTAATGAATTTATTTTTGGTAAAAAGTGATATTTTCGACTTCTTATTGAAAACCGCAAGTTCAATTGCTTTAATATTACATATATAGGTACTACATGTGGAACTCTCTCAGATTTGTTCATTTCATGATGATATCTTCAATTCTGGTGAATATTTTTGTAATTTTTTGTGAAAAGTGATACCGGTATTTTCGAATTTTTGTTGAAATCAGAGAGTCTGATTGCTTTATTGTTTATTTTCTAATGATATCTTCAGTTCTTTAATTGAAATGTGCATTGCTAACAGCGGAGCTATCTCAGCCGACAGGTTGCTCGTTGTATTTTAACAGTTGTAAAATGGACGAGTAGAAAACTTTTATTTAAAAAAAAAAATTATTATTTTTAGTAGGCTAATAATATATACTTTATTTTGTTACAGGTGAAATGATTGACAAATTAACACTAAAATACAACCGAACACGTCAAGCTGTCATTACCAGAGAGTTGATTGAAATTATCTCCGGTGCTGCTGCTTTGTAATGGTTTTTGGATTGTTTTGTGTGTTTTGAATTTCCTTCATTGTGGGTACAGCAATGTTCCTGTTGTGTGACCAGTTAAAACCACAGTGCATGTGTGCTTACTATTACATGGTATGGAATGTAAGGAATCTTACAAAGTATTCTGATGTTATGTAATAATAAGTTGTATTATTTCAGAAAATAAAATCACTGGACCATTGATCCAACTGATGATCATTGTATTGAGTTTTTGGTTGTATGGGAAAACATTACCAGTTCAATGCACAGGATATACAAAGTAACACTGTACACCCAGGATCTTCTCATTTCATCATTGTATGCCTAATATTATGCTCTCTTGTAGTGCTGACGTGTTAAAGACATATTGTAAAAATGTTAATTTTTTTTTGGGGGGGGGGGGGTGTTATTTACTGAACTTTAATTTCACTTCAGTGAACCATTAATTTTTGCATTATTAATAGGAGAAGAGGGTCCAGTTGAAAAAAATTGCATTTCTTGAACTTCTGCAACAAAGAATTCACATTATCTTCACAATAATTAGTCTGATTTAAAATGCAATAGATATTTTCAAATTCATCAGTCGAAAAAAAAAATAGGTGATACGTTTCTTTTTAGGTGGCATGGTACTTCAGCTAATTCACTAATTTAAGATGTCTCTCATTTAAGTATATTCTTCACAATGAGATTGTTGACACTTTAGCTAAACCAAGATTCTGATAATTCATTCCTAAAATGGCATGTAGCTATTTCAATGTGCTTTACTGTATATGAGCAAAAGTTTTTTATAATACTGCAACAAGAGGGCATAGTTTCAAATGATAATTGTAAAACAAGAATCTTGCTTTGTCAAGTATGAGATGCACCTTTTAACCACACTTGTAGCCACTAAATGACATTTAAGACGCAACTGTTCAACAATGTTATTCTTCTGATTCTTGAAATTTGTCTGAATACCAAATAAAAACAAATTACCCTGAACACTTTTTATCCAATTCTGTGCTAGCTGCTTTTGTTTAAAACAATAAAAGCGTGGTAGTTGTCGCGTCGCGTCGCGTCGCGTCACGCATGTGCAAGATGTATGGGTCTCGTATAAACAAAAATTGCGACTTCGGCTGTAGCACAGATCAACAAGTACAAACAGACGTTACCAAATGTCACGCAAGATGTATGGGTCTCGTATAAACAAAGATGATTTTGGCTGTTGGCAAACAGACGTTACCATACGTTAAGTAGGAATTTTTTAGGTGATTGGAAGGTATCGAAAATTCACCGGCGGTATTCAGTGCAAGTCGCGCCCATACTTATGATTTTCATTAAAAGAATTTCATTCGAAGAGTGCATTGGATTGTGGAAAAATCAATGTTTATCAACAGAAATGTCACACGTGTTTATTACAAAGATTGGGATAAGATTTTGGTGGTCTTTGTTTTGATATTGGGTACTCTGATGCTTGCATACCGTTACTCTTTTAATAAAAAAATAAAAGCAGATTCCATTCTGAGGAGTAAACTAAGTGATGCTATTTGAAATTGTCAGAACAATCAGGGTAGTTGTGTAAACAAAGATATTTACATAATCTTCAATGTGGCAATATTACCATATACTATATTTAAACACTTTATCAAATTTATTTCTTCTATGTCTAGTCAAAAGATATGTAACATCTCTCATTTCTTGTGTAAATGACATTTCAAAAATGTTTGATACACTAAAAATAGTGAGTTCAATGGTGTACAGCCTAATTTTGTTCAAAGGTGGATTTTAGTCGATGCTTAAAAAATTTTACAACCGATGCCACTCGAATGTTGATTACCGAACTAATACGTTGTACACGCTGAGCAATAAACCAACCAGTCCGTCCGTTGTACGTCGATCGTCAACTTTTTTCAACTTCTTCTCCACAATCTTCAGCTGGATTGTCTTGCTATTCTTACCACACCTACCTTGGATGGTACTCTGTCAGATTTGTTCATTTCATGACATTGCATGTTGACATATTTTTGTCATTTATGGTTAAAAATGATTTTTTCCACAACCTCTTGTCAGATTGCTTTGAAATTTGGCATGAATGTTGTTGACATGGACTACACTCAGACTTGTTATTTTCATAGCACCATGTCTATTTTGCTCATTTTCGACTTCTCCGAAACCACCAGCCACATTGCTTTGAAATTCAGAATATGCCAGCATAGTCACAAAGAGGTTATCAGTGAATCGTGCATGTCCAATGGGCACTGGCAATATGTCAATGCACCAGTAGGGAGTGTAATCTAAAGTTAGCTACTGCTGGCCAAAGCTAGTCTGGTGTACGAACATGATAGGGGTTCTAATTGGAACTTTGATATGGAGTATAATCAGGTGGTAATAATGAAAGATCACAAGTAAATAGGTGTGCTGAGTAGGACTTTTACAATTTCTGACCGGGCCTCAAGTCGATAATTATGAATCTGGCGAGCAGTATGGTAACGGTGAGGATTTTCAAGATGAGAGGTCATAATGTAGGATGTAGAAATTAGAAGACTTGAATGAGAACTGGGTCTCGCTGTTGTAACAGTTACAGCTCAATGCTGAGGTGGCAATAAATAGGGAAGTTATTGATTGCAGCATCAAGGAGATGCATTTAGGGGCTGACCATTTGATATCCTGGAGGGGCCAAGACGATTTTGTGAAAAAAAAACCCAATTCTATGACAATACTTGAAAAAAAATCCTACACTATATGCATGTAAAAAAGAATCTGAAACTTTCAGACCCCCTGGAAAAAAATGATTTTTATTGATCCTTTCCCTCAACAATTTCATCATCTATGTTGTTTAACAGTTCTTTCACAGTGACTTTCTGCTGTATTTCTGTACAAACTGTCTCTAACAATGCATTTATTATCGATGGGGGTGGTGGATTGACAAGCATCTCGCAGACTGAGGGCAGTATTGCATTAGTTAACTAAATACATAACACGCGTGTTATTCAGTGTTAAAATATTTCAGGTGTGATCCCGATAGACGGAAACAATATTAGAATACGAAACTGAATACGAAGAAAGCCTGTGTCTATACAGCACTCAAATTTATCCGTAATTGTATTATTAGTCCCCGTTCGGACGAAGTCCGAAAACGGGGACTTATAATTTGGTCTCTGTCCGTCCGGAGTCGTATCTCAGAATCCCTTGGACCGATTCCGTTCATTCTTTGCATGTGCCTAGTACTTTATGTGGGACATATGCACATGCAGTGGTTTAGCGATTCGATTCAAAATGGCCGACCGGCAGCCATCTTGTTTTTTGAAAATGTTGTATTTTGGACATGCTTTGTCAGTTTTCATTCAAACTTGGTACATAGATCATACATGTTAGGATACATGTCCCCGACCGTCTGCAGTTTCTGAATCTGTCCGTTCGACCGTCCGTCTGTCCGTGCGTCAGTCTATCCAACGTCATATTTCAGAATCCTGTGGACCGATTCTGTTCATTCTTTGCATGTGCCGAGTACCTTATGTGGAACATATGCACATGCAGTGGTTTAGCGATTCGATTCAAAATGGCCGACTGGCAGCCATCTTGTTTTTTGAAAATGTGGTATTTTGGACATGCTTTGTCAGTTGTCATTCAAACTTGGTACATAAATTATACATGTTAGAATACATGTCCATGACGATTTATTTTGCAATTGGATCAAAGATGGTCGACTGGCAGGCATCTTGTTTTTTTATGCGGTATCTTGGACGTGCTCTGTCAGTTTTCATTCAAATTTGGCACATACATGTACTTTATACATGTTAGGATGCATGTCCATGACAATTTGTTTCAAAATCTGGCTGATTGACAGCCATCTGACTTTTTGGCCTATATTTCCACAATTTATGTACCATTTTCATTCGTATTTGGCACATACATCATACATATCAGTGTGTTTCATAATCAGATCAAAGATGGCTGAATAACGGCTGTTTTTTGGCC